ATTATTACAACCACTCAGAGCAATTCTATTTTGCACCAGGTAGCTGTTATCTCAGGTACACTTGTGGCCTATTAAGATACCTTCCCATGTGTTTTTGAGCCATCTCCCTTCAACTATATCAGCCAACCTCTTTACCTTCAACCTTTTAGCAACTTTTAGCTACACCTACAATAATCCCGCCACAGTTTCTTCAGAAATTGCATAGTCTAATTGCTTTTAATCTTTTTGCTTTATGGAAAGACAAGAGCTTTGTGATAAAATGCATAAACACAGTCAGCCAGGCTTGCTATCATTATCACTATCCCTAACACTATCATTTATGCTTTTATTTCCACGTGTTTAGATTATTTTAATACATATTATTACAAATTTTACTTTTATCTAGCAAGTGACATGCTTTAGGTTTGAGTAGTTTTCCACCCATATACATAGTTCCACTTCATTTCTGTGCTGTCATAAGTCCCATAGTTCAGCTGTCTGCAATGTTGTGCGCTAATCCGCTGTTTTATTAAAGGATTATTTCAGCCGCTTGTAAGAATATTTGTATCACTGATTAATGAAAACGTCATCTTGTTTAATCAGTCCTCAGCAAGAGGTGTGTGTGTGCCTGTGTCTGTGTGTGCATGTGCGTGTTTGTTCCTCCTAAGGAGCCAGCTGCTGAAGCTCAAGGCAGAAATGTGCTAACTGATCCAAGAACCCCCTCCCCAAAAAAATCACACCCATCCCCCCCCCTTCCCGCCTCTAGCCCCCAAACACCTTAAACCTCCATTTTATCCTGTTTACAGAGCCCACAGTTTCACGCCACCACCATAAACACGCACACGGGACACACACGTACAAATCCAGTATACATAAAAGTTTTTAAAAAATACAAATCTGATCCAAAGTCACGATCCTGTAAATCAGAATATACTGTAAGCTAACTACAAATACGACTAGTCTTTACTCAACGCTCCCTTTTTATCCAGCAGCTGATATTATATTTATGCTCTTGAGAATCTTTCCCCATGTTGATGAATGTGTGTTTACGTGGCACATTTTGAGCGCTCATAGCGCCGCAGCTGTGATTGTGATCTACTGTTTATCTAAGTCTATTGGTGGAAAACCTTTCATCTGCGCTGCCACAATAAAATCAAACTCAGCACTAGACTCAAACTGCTGGACAAACACAATAAACTCTCGACCACAAAGGAATCTCCTAACATAGATCCTAACAGGAAAGTCGGGATCTGCCGTCACACTGGAGATTAGTGCAAAGATTAGTCTGTGTTTATTTAGCTTCATTTTTACATGGAAAGGCATGAAAGACATTAATAACATATTTGCATGAGTCTGCTATAAGTGCTATGACACACCTGGTGATGATAGATGATTAATTTTTCCCTCTGAACCACTTTAAAGTCTGGTGCTAAAATAGGACGATATATGTATATTATTCTCTGTGGCTCTACTTTTATTCCTAATAAGATTTTAATTACTGTTTATTTTTTTCTTCTAAGACTGTGTTATCCTGCAAATCCACTACAAACCACAAATGGAAGTACGGCAGGAAACCAGTAAGCTTTGACAGAGAGCAAAAAGATATTTTGATGTTTTTCTGCTCTTGCTAAAAACCCCATTGGCTCTTAAATAACCACATCCTCCCATCCTGGCAGAGTTTTACAATCGCATTTACAGTGCAAAAGGAAAAGTTTATTGCACCTAATAATCTTTATTTGGACCTGTTCAAATAGGACGGGCTCGCATGTATGGCATGTGTGGGCCTGATGGAGACCATCCACCAAGACCAAATACTCATCTGCTCCCCGTCACATCCCTCATCGTGGCAGCCATTCAGGCAAGCTCGTCTATCAGAACAAAGACCTTGCAGCTCTACCTCTTGTAACCCTATACAGGGACATGAAACGTTGACCTTTGATCCCACGTGTGATACAAGTGACAGTGTTGTCCCACAGGTCAGCAGTAAACGTGCCAATCGCATTCCCAGTCTCCTCTGCAGCAGCACTCCTGTGGCATGTTAGCACTTGAGCGGCTAAAACACTTCTGACATTTGTTTTTGTGACTCACTAAATAAAAGTCTCTGTGTTGTGATGAAAGGATTAACAGGATTTAGTTTGTGGGGGGTCGGGGTGTAACTAAGCTAACTTGTAAATGTTAATGATAGCCAGAAACATAATATATTTATTATTCTTAATACTACGCTACAAAAAAAAAAAGCTACTGCATCCTCAAATCGGCAGTTTTGGAAATTTAAGATAGTTAAAGAGGTGGAGCACAATACAACACTGAGCTTCAAAGATTGATCAAATCAAACAATTTGGGTTGAGACGGAACAAATAAATAAACAAATTCAGCAAATAATGTGTTACTCATAAGGTTTTGTAAACATATAATTTTTTTTTCACACTGTGCAAGTTTTTACACATGTAATGTAAAAGTATTAGTGGCCACTAATTTCTTCTTTGTCTATATTTTCCTATATTTGTTCATGTTTTATTGTCACAAAAATCCTACATTCTCTAAATGCATTAAAAAAACGATCAACATTGCTCTTGGTCAGTTGTTTTTCCCCAGACGTTACAACTTTGCAGCCTTTTTGCAAAATGTGATAATAAAAGCAAGTCTCATTTTTCTCCTTAATATATAACAGCCCACGTATCCACTGCTGCTTTATCCCTGAATAGAAACTATTTATTAGCAAGAAGGCACAAAAACCAAACAGACATAGTTAGAGCTAACTCTTTAATATTCTCCTATGTTAACTCCAACCAGGCAACTCAACGCTCTGTTTTGTTCCATATCAAGATTAACAGGTGGAAGATTCGTATGCATTATATTATACTTGTTAATATAATGTGGTTTGTAAATGAGTTAAAATAAGCGACCGTGTCACTGTTTCTGAAGGATTTTTGCTAATGATCAGGATGTTTTTAATACTGTTGGAACAAAAATAAAAATGTATTCATCTTAGAAAAACTTTTATAGCCTAATTATAAAATAGCTTTAGTAATTGTGTGATTAAGGCAGAGCATCCATATAAATAATAAAACAGGCATCTCTCTCTCTATGACTGAAAGCTTGTAACTGAATTTTGTGTCACTTGGGTCATAAAACAATAAAAGAAATGTGTTGTTTGTGCTTTCAAAGATAAGTAAATTCCTCTGAGGTAATTATATGTTTGTCTCTTCACAGCTCGGTTTCATCTCCCCGCTGGTAACGGCAGTTGTATAGAGTGACTCTCTGGTTAACTGTAAACACTCTCTCAGGTTTATAGCTTCCAGCAGGCCGCAGTCCTGCGAGCACTTTCTCAGCACGCCGCAGTGGTAAAGGCCTGTAAACTGCGGGGGAGAGATTTCAGGGTATGAATTGACAGGCAGTCTGTAGCTGTGCATGGTTTTATTACCGCTAATGGTGGTCGAAGACTGCACATGAGGGCGGGTGGGAGTTGTTGAACCATGTCCAACTCGTCTGACAGAAAAGGTGTTACGTTCTGGCATGAAGGCCAGTTTCAGTTTACCTGCTCCTGAATTCAATACAGGAAAGGAGACAAAAACATGTATAATCACATGGATGTTTACAAACATACAGACACACGTAACGCACAGACTAACTTCATAGCATCTGCACCCCTATTACATGCTACATACATGCTACACTCGTAGCCGATTTCCTCCAGATGAAGCTGGAAACCCTCCATCAGATCATCAAAGTTTTTCAGAAACATGTGTCTGAGCTTTATTTGCTCACTTTGTTGCAGGATTCCTGCCACTAGGGTTGTTAATGTGTTTCACCTATGAGTACCGGTATGTAATTTTAAAAAGTAAGCTATTAAATAAATGAAGAGGCGAAAAATTCACGTGAAGAAAGAAACTGGCACGGTTAACTTTGATCATCAAAAAATGAAAAATATTCAAATCTACTGAAAGCTTCTTATCTATGATATTGATCTAGTGCTTTGTATTATTGTAAGATGAAACTCATTCCAGTTACTGATGACTGTGTTAGTTTAGCATTTCCATAAACAACATGCTGATTGCAGTTCATTCCCAGAATCAAACCCAAATCTTTGATCAACATCTGTAAATTCTGAGAAAGCGTTCAAGAAACTCCTCGGTGAGAAGGAGCAGATCTTGACCCACTCGTGCACACTGCAGTCATAATTTATCACCCAATGATTTAGTGAATAAAACAACCAAAAGAACATTTGTTTCTTGGCGATATATGTGGTCGTTTTTTTGTAGTTGATGATGATAATCTACTTACAATAGAATTTCCTATCCTTGACTACATTTTAATTAAAAACAGCAAAAGACTCACAGAAGTTCATCACTTAATGGATCTACAATTTTTCTTAAACCAGGTTTTCCTCTGTCCTAACAACTGTACAAACATGAAGTCAGCTAATGGTTTCTTCATGGAGAAAACAATGAAAGTCCCAATAAAGACATGAAGCAGACGTCATGGACAGGAGCCCAGCCAGATGACAGGGAGTCAGCAAGAGGGAAAAGGAGAAAGAAAGACAGCCAAAGTGATGCATGGAGAAAAAAAGGCGGAGAGGGTGCAGCCTGTATACCAGCAAACAAATACACAACAGGCAGCTGACATATAAAACAATATTAGTCCAAATGCAGAGAGAGCTGCTTCCAGCAATAATCTGCAGGGACTGGTGAGAAATGCTTGAACTCTGTGTGCATGTGTGTGGCAGATGGCAAGTAAAGGTGAAGAGAATACACTGAAAAATGGGGGAAGGAAAAGTACAACAAAGAAGATTAAATAGACACAATGAAGCAATGAAAGCGAGAAAGGCGGAAAAAAATAGGCAAAATTAGTGAAGAGGCGAAGAGAATAGCCCTCAGACTTTCTCCTTGACTCGCAGCCAAACGCATTTACAATCGAGGAAGTTTCTACTGACTGGCTGCCGCTCCCTCCTTCTCCTGCCCTGACTTCCCCTCCCTCTCCTCTCACGCTGGGACCCCCCTCCCTCTATAGAAAGTGGGACTCCGTCTCCCTGCTCACTTTCTCTCGCCCGTCTGAAGATTTAACACAGCGCAGAGCGAAGCTGGCGGCCACAGTCGTGCCCTGGATTGTAACAGAGAAAGAGCGCAAGCCCTCCTGCAGCCTGCAAGCCCACCACCATGGACGTCAAACTGATGGCACTGCTGGCTCTGCTGGCCGTGGCCACACATGTTCCGACCTCCAACGGTGAGTCCAGAGGGACAGCAGCCCCTTTAATTTAAACGCTTCAGGAACATTACTGACAACATCATTTAGACAGGTTTTGACTAATTTAAACGTTTAAGATTCTGGAGCTTCCGACATTTATATTTTTCTTATTGGCTATTTAGAACAGCATTTTTCTGGATTAAGTTTATGTTTGTTAGGTTATGTCAGCATTCATTTTAATTGTTTATGATTGATCGGTTGCCGTCGTGGTAAACCCCTTATTACAAGACTGTGAAATTCCAGTTCTTCGATCACCTGCTTTCCTTCTACGTCGATAAATTTCTAGACAGAAAATTGGGTAACAGATTGAAATGTTATTAGAATTTTTTTTAATACATTAATTAAATAGCTACAGTATAACTTAAACTCATGGAGAGTAAATGAAGTACAAAATAGAAGCTTCTTGGTTATTGTTTTTTCGGACAGGTGCCGAATTATTGCGTTTTGCTTTGCTAGTTTTTTAAAATTATTATTATTTTGCAGTTTGTATTTGGGTTTGTGGAAACAAACATATATTTTTATACATAATTAGAAAATTAAACTTGAATGAAAATATTTCCCCACTGCAAGTTCTTATGTGGGGCGCTAGAAGAGAATAAGTAGAGAATATACTGATATTAATCAAAATCTAAAAAACAGAAAATGCCTTTTTAAACAAAATGTTTATAAGCATTTGTTTCAGATTTTGGGCAAATATCTTATCTTATATAGGTGGATTCCTGCCACCGCATTGACCCCACATTTACCTCCCACGTTTAACCTTGGTAGCAACAAGACGGGGTGTTGAGTTTCCTAGCAGGATTTATCCTAAGCGTATTATTTCTGCTCCACTAAGAGCTCAGATTGAATATTCAAGACTTAGACCTAGACATGTGTATTTGCCTTTTCTCACTGCATCCTTATAATTAGTTTCTAATTAGGGATAAATCAGTGGTGGACACATGCTTCTGGCTCCAGTGCTGCATGCTGCATAATGATCCCTTAGTTTGCATGAGAAAAGACCCTGAATGGGTGCGAATCATTAGAGCGATATTACTGAGGATTTGGGCATTTGTGACAGGACATTTGCTGTTTCTTTATGAAAAAAAAGAATACATTGAACCTTGTAAAAAAAAAAAAAGATCTTTATTATTGATGCACCTGATTTTAAGATTTCAATTACATTTAATTATATGTTGCCAAATCACAACAGCATTTGCTTTATATTGTATGGTTTGAGTAATCTGGACATTTACATTTGTACAGGCAGGGCATGGCTGATGTACAGAATCAGCTCTGTGAAATTTTGTAATTTCTTAAAGCACACTTTAAGCTTCAGTTTTCAATGTATTTTATTCCCATTCAAAGCCCTCTATAATGATGCAATTAAAGGCTATTCGGCTGGTTTCTTTTTAACTTTTATTGCCAGCCAGGTTTTCCTTCATTCTTTCCCTCATTTTTTTAACAACCCTCATCGTTTCTTTCATTTGAAAACTTTTAAGGAAGCATTTAGTCTTATTACTGTGCATCTGTAGTCCTCGGGGGCACCGACAAGCCTACACAAACTCACATTGTAATCATTTTAAGAATGTACCTCATAGAGGCTGCTGAGGCCGTCTGAGCTGCAGAGTGCTTTCATAAAAGAGGTGAATATTGGAAATTGAATGTTGAGGACCCTTCTCCTTTAGAGTGGCTTGGCTGAATGCTCCAGGAGTGAAAAGCTAAAATTCTGCATGCGTGTGTGTGTGAGAGTGTGAACGAGCGGGTGGTCAGAAAGGGCTAATCTCTTTTTAATGAGGATGTTGTTCACAGACATAGCAGGTAAACTTATACATTCCCATGCTTTGTTAAGATTTGTTACAGTAGATTAAACATGCCTTTAATTTGTCCAACGAGGTGAAAGGTACGTTTAATCGCAATCCAAACGAATCAGAAACTGCTGCGCTTGGATTTGATTTAAGTTGATGTAGGTATTTAAATCCTCACTTGAACCAAAATGACCCTTTCTTTTGTTAACGGGCAATGAAACGAAATATTAGACACCGCTGCTCATTTCATCCACTGTGATCTGAATAAGTTTTCTTTGGCAAGTTAACGGAATCATTTATCTTAAAGTCCAACGTCTGCCACATTTTACTGCCCTGCAGAGCTCCACATAAGTAATGCTGAATGTGTCTCTGTGTTGGCTGATTTCTCCTTTGTTCACAAAAAGCTTGTTAGGCTTTTCTTGCTCTTACATATTGAAATAAGGCAGGTGCAGCTTTGTCTGTGGATTTTGCTTTGGATCCCAAAGCAAATTTTTCAGTTTTCAAATTCCTCTTCCTAACTCCTTCCTAAATATATAGCTGTGTGAATGCCAGAGCTTAAGAGTGCAGTGTTGCAGAATTGGAACAGTCAGTACTTGTTAAGCTTTTTAACAGCCTGGTCTCTTGAGATTTTGTTGCATTTTCTAAGCTTCATGCTAATTTGTAATCTTCCTTGTCCACTGTTTGTAGCAAAGCCCATCAGTCTGGTTGAGCGCTGCTGGTGTCGATCCACTCTCAACACGGTTCCCCAGCGCTCCATCAAAGAGCTCAAGTTTCTCCACACGCCCAACTGCCCCTTCCAAGTCATGTAAGTAGATGAGTCTCATGTTGCAGGGGGTGATTAACTTCAAGAAATGTGTTTCCTGGTGTAATTATCTGATGACTGTTTGAATGAGTCTGTCACTCGTGTGGCCTGTTTAAGTGGATTCTTTTCCGTGTGTCAAGGTTCATTTTTTAGGTTTTAAAAAAGCAGAATCGTGTAAAGTAACCATTTTGTGATAGATTAGATTGTACTTGATATCTGTGCTGAGCTTTTGCAAGTGAACTGTTCTCCTCAAACTCCCAGACATAGTCACAGTCACAATAACCAGATGTGGGAAAACAAAAAAACAATATAGGAAAATGACACTGGCATGCATTACCTTCTCTGTTTAATGAACACTACAGATTCATTTATGACTGTATTAGTGTAATGCCAGTAATAACAGCGCACACATATCATTCAAGACCAGTTCATATCAGTGAGTACAAACTACAAAAGGGCTGTGTTTGAAGTGTAGGCTATTTTTGGGGGTCTATATAAGCCAATAGTCTTCTTTAACAAGAGGAAACAGAAATAAATGTAATACACTGCTGATGTGTGAGGTATGTGTAAGGTATGGTGTTAATATCCTTCTAGGCTTTCCTGAGTGAGCGGGCAGACTTTAAAACAACACAATCCACTCAGAGAGAGGAAAGCGCTAACGCTCAGAGCTCGAGGGGGCCATTTGTGTTTGGCAAAGGAAGCAATAATTAAGGGTCAAAGTGATTACCTTTGTATTTCTGCCGACCCCTTGTGTCCCTCATCTACTTTTTCTTTTTTCATTTCCCGCCTGAATCTGGTCAGCAACGTTGAGAATAATTTCACTGGTCTGGAACACATTAACAAAAAAAAACCTTCCTTAATTTGTTAGCTATTGAAAATCTGGACGGCAGAAGCCTCAAGGCCAAAAGGCTAAAGGACTGGAGGCTTCTTCCACAAAGAAAGGAGGGGGCTGGTGATGGTTGGAAGGGGTAACCGAATGGCAAAAGGTCAGGAAGGACTACCAGTCCTGTGGCTAGGCTACAAACTCCCTCTAACCTCCCTCCAGAAAACTGCCAGAGGAGTCAAGAAGTCATTCAGACAAGGAGCCCGCAGAGCGGCGCTCCGATATCTCTATTGAGGAGCATGAAAGAAAGTCGGTAACATAACACCCTCTTTCACCCCACAAGAAACTCCCCCCCCCCCCCCTTCTCCCACTGTGTGCCCTCATCCCTTCACCCTAGCTTGACAACAACCCCTCCAAACCAGGCCGCCACGCTGTTGGTATTAACTTGCTGTGAAGTAATTACTACCTGCTGCTTGTGGAACTCCGGCCCCCAAATTCCTGCCAAGTCAATTAGGGTTTAGGTTCTCAGTTGGTCATCCAGACAGGCAGACAGATAAACAGGACGAAGTGAGAAACATCAAAATAACAGAGAGCTTCCGAGCTGATGAGCTGGCAACCTCTAATAAAACAAAAAGTGTGTGTGTGTCTGTGTGTGTGCGTAGGAAGGGGGGCGACCCCATGAGAAAAAGCAAACACAGATCCAGTTACGGAGCTGTTTGGCCTCCTGACATTTGAAGGATTCGGGATCAGGCTGGTGCTCCCGAATTGCTCTTTTAAGTTTGAGGGGCCATTTGCTCATCTGCCTCTAAATGCAGTGAGGAATAAGGGAGGTGGTATATCAGAGGGGCAAGCAAGAGAGGGGGGCACAAATTGAATATGAAAGCAGTGTTTAACTTACAGAGATGTGTGACATGAGATGGAGGGAGGAGAACGGGGAGCAGCGAGACGCTACACCTCTGAGCTGTTAACTCTCATACATGACCTTTTGCCACTGAGGTGTGATATCCACATGTTTGGAGCAGGGTAAGACCCTGTTGCGTGCCCCCTGCAATCGCCCCATTGGTTCTGAAACTCACCCAGAGTCAGTGACTGACAACAGAACAAATCCTCTCCTAAATGTCTGGCTTAGCTCTCTATTAACAGACCAGACATCAGCTCACATTCTGTGACCGCCCTGCAGCACCCCTGAATCCTGAGCGGGAAGGAAAATTCAATATTTTGGAGTATGAAAGAAGAAAAATGTCTGTTTTTCTGAGTATTACAGTTGTATATTTTACCTAACATAAAGTGTTGAGGGTGAAGCAATGTTTCAGTTTCTGTTCAGGCTAATTTTTAGTGACTTCTAGTTTATGTAAATCTAAACTCATTTTAAAAATATGTTTAAAAACCCTCCACAAAAAAGACGTGTTAACATGTGCACCCAACAAAGTACCAGGAATAAAAATTTAAAGCAACATTTTTCTTTTTTAAGTTACACACATTGACATCTGCCTTGCCAAAAAAGACTAATATTTAAAAACTCTGTTTTCAAGAGGAGCGTAATCAGTGAATTACAGACAAAAAACAGAAACACAAATCAAATAAATAACCAAATCAGACTTAAACAGTAGTGGGATTTAAAAATATAGACTTATACTGTAAATTTCACCCTATACTACCAAAAAGGATTTAAGAGTGGTAGCGAACGTGACTGATTACTTAAACAAGCCTCTGATGTTGCACCTTTTAAAAGTTTTACATGAAACCAGCCTGATCAAAAGGACTTCCCACGTGTAAAGTTTGTGTCAGACTATGTGTGAAGATGTTTAGCATGCCGTGCAGAGACAGCTTTACAAGTCATACAGTGCGGTGTGATCTGCGATATCAGCCTCCCCCCTTCAGCCGTCCTTGAGCAGAAACAGCGAGCTGTGATTTTTCACCGCTGAGCAGATGCTGACAGCCTGTTATGCGTAGTAATCCTCCAGTTTGGAGCTTGGATGTGTTTTTAGATGTGCAGAGATTTTTAGAGCTTATCTGAGGTGTATCTGAGCTCAACCCCCGTAGACCTTTTAATCCTGGCATGTTTTGCTCATTTCACTTCTGATTTATTTAACAGCCGATAAACCATAAACAGCGAGGGGCTATTTTTGTTCCCATTATGGTTAAAAAAAAGTGCTGTTTAGCTTTTAAAAATGCTTTAAGAGTTTTGTAGCTTTAGTAAAAACTTACATTTACTGATTTATTTCCAAGAGACAAACTAAAGGTATATACTGTACATTGCTCTTAATCTATATTAGTCATAAATCACTAATATTAAGTAGTACAGCCAAGGAGCACCTATTTAAATGCTATAAGCAAGGATGTTAGGTTGTGCATCCCACTGAATAATAATGCTTGATTTGTTGTCATTGCGCAAGGAC